CTGACCTGGGGGTTCTGTCTTTCATTTTGGGTTATCTCATCATAGGGTGTTTGGGGTATGAGATTATTAGAATGTGGCTTACCATTGCCTTCTTCTATGCAGTACTAGCCAGGGTTAGCTGACGTGTCACTGCCATTGTCTATGAAAGATTCTCTGCCAGTGTCACCTTCCACTACCACTGCTGACCAGTAGCTAACCTTCAAGGAGTCCTCTACCTCCATCACCACTGGAATTGTCAATCTCTTCTGCTGATGTGACCATTGATTCCTGAAAGGGGTATGCATCTTTGTCCAGTGCCTAGGCTTTGACCATTCTGTCTTGAATGACTCTGCTAGGAGTTTAAACTCTTGACTGAGTCTAAACTCCTGTCAGAATTGCTTTTAGCTCCACTTGCACATTCAGCACCCCTTACCATGTTAAGGTGTGCATTCAAGAGGAAGTCAAATATATCACATAAAGATGAAAGAGATGAGTGAAGGCATTTTCGTTTTAATCTTTATTTAATAAATGTCTAACATATCACATAAAAATTAAAATGAAAACACCTTCACTTATCTCTCATCATGATATGACATCTAGAAAATCAAGAATTAACTACAAGATGCTTGATTTCCTATATCCTACACCTCTTTACTAAGGAAGGTTTGAAGACTTCCTCCAGCTTACAGCAGGAGAGCAACTTAAGTTGGAGGAAGACTAGGCTGGAGGCACTTTGTCCAGCCTAACGTAGGGCCCTATCCACTGAATTATGATTTTGTACTTATTTATCAATGGAACTTTAGTCATACTCCCCTTGAATGAGTTTTAAGAAGTTGCCATTCTGTATCTTAAAATCCAGTTTTGATTTTCAGTCACATTGCTCAATAAAACGTAAAGCTGCCTTCAGTTCATATGCTTTAAAATAAATCTTTTCTTCCACAGATAATTATTATATCATGGGAGCCGCGGTCTTGCTGCAGGGTTGCATCAGTGCTTAGTTCTTGTGGCCCTTTCTTACACGACCAGGGAAATGCTGATTGCCACTTTGGGGTCAAGAAGCAATTTTTCTCCAGGCCAGCTTTGGCTGGAGATCCTGGAGGCTTTTTATAATCTTCTGTGTATGGAACAGTGGTCACTGGAGGTGTGGAGGGGGAGGCATGTGTGAATTTCCTGCATTGTGCAGGGGGTGGACTAGATGACCCTGGAGGTCCCTTCCAACTCTATGATTCTATCTCCGTGGCTCCATCCCAAGCTTGTCCTGATATTGTGAGGAGTCACATGGGAGGGATGGGTACATTAGGGCCAAGCTATGCTGACATCAATAACCTGATGGGGCCCTGATGTTAGTATGATTCTTCCATGTGATCCTGTTCTTTCTCCATGGTTTCTAGTGTACAATAGAACCATGGAGGAGTGGTTAGCCACATACGCTACATTACAATAGGATCTCAGTCTTCAGAGGTTTGTTGAGATACTGACACCAAGCATTAATTCCCAGCTGTTACTGCTCATTTTCTATCACCTAGTAATTTAAGTAACAGTGTCTTCAGAATTATTCTCATTAACATGGGGGAAGCATTCACATACTTTTATAGTACTGTTCCAAGGAAGGACATTTGGTAGCCTAATCATTTTCTTGGAGGTCAAGATTCAACCATAGAAATCTTACTGCAGGCATCAATGGAAGAAATAGCTTGCAACAATAAAAGGGGTAATGTCTGAGATTCAAGCAAACTGTCAAGCAAGAAAATAAAAACTCGATAAAAACCAGCTGCTAATTTATAGTTCCTGCAGAAGACAGGTAGCTGGGGGCAAGGAATATATAAGCAAATGTCAAAATTGCTGGAGCCGATCTAAATTTGGCAAACAGTCTGTAACCTTTGCTTGACTCCTGGTTATTGCAGATGACGTTAGTTAAAGAGCCCATCACAAATGAGATGACAATGGAAGGTCAAATGCAGTGGTTCAAGAACAGCTTTAGCCTTTTCCTCACATGATTGAGAAAAGATTTCAATTTTTCAACTATCAGTGTTTGCAACAAGCCCAACCCATTTATCTCTCCATTCCCATCTGAGAGAAAATTTATAATTAAAATTTCATAAATCAGAATAATGTTTCCTTAATTTCAAAAAATCTCTCAGTTTCCTTTGTTTCCCCATATAATGCCCTGAAGACTGACGATCAAAACTGCTCTGAACAATGGGGGAAGCAATACAACCACAATCAAAGAATTAGTCATGCACCAAAAAACCTTAGGAAGAATTCCACCACAAGCTCCATTTTTCTCAACCCAAACAACATAAGGGATTTTAAAAACCGCCAGAACTACTAAACAGAGAGGCTGAGAACAACATTAATATTCCTTGTTTTGCCTGGGTCAAACCGGATGAGCTATTGGAAGATTGGCAGAAAGATCTCCAGCAACTGATGTGGATTGGGATAGTAGCATGTGTATCAGGAGGAGAGATAACCCTTTCACCCTGTAGTTTCTCCCCCTCTGATGTCAAACAGACCCCTGGAAATGCTATGTATACTCCTGGTAAAAATGTACAGGCAAAATAGAGACAACATTTGTGGTGCATGAACCAGTTCCTGGTCTGGATGAAAGACTGTAGGATATAAATGTCTAAAACAAACAAACAATTTACCAATAAGAAATGTGCTTGAGAACCATTCACAGGGTTCAATCCAGCCAGTTTTTTTCACTCAGTCTCACCCAACTCTCTTCTCTACTACAGCCCCTGTCCCATGTGGATTTTCTCCATGCAGACGCCATGATCCCCAGTGTAGCCATTTTGGATAGAGGATTCCTGCCTCCTTTTGTCACCAGCAGAAAAGCTGGTTGGATCCAACCCACAGATCTTCAAATCTGGTATATCTTTGTTCCTTATCTTAATCTATCTTTCCTTATTTTTCAACCCACAGTGCATTACACAGGCTGTATCAAACTAATATATATTAACTGAATGGTGGAGAAAGCAATAACCTTAATACAACCACATCTCAATCAAAATATTAGTCATGCACACACACACAAAAACCCTTAGAAAGAATCTCATCACAAGCTCCATTTTGTTCCTCTCTGCACGTTAGGGCTTCACACCTAGAAGACTGGACACTTCTATTCCAATGGATTCCACATCTATTTCCTAATTTCCCCACATTTACACCCCTACCTTAAAAGAAACTCTTGCTCCAAGTTGAAGTAGTTCAGGTTGAAGTCTAGTTGCTGTTTGAGTTAATTGAGAATCTTTGCTAAGGATAAGTTTCCCCTTCCCTAAAATATTGTCCCAGATCCCTCAATAACCTCTGTATTCCTTTTAAACCTTTAAATCAGGTCTCTGTTTCTTTTCCTGCTAGCTGAAACTCACTACCCGCAGTTACCTCTTAAGTTAAAAAAAAATCTTGGTTTTCTACTCCCAGCACAAAAGCACAAGCTAATTCCCCATGTCTGTTTGAATGCATGTTTGTGGGGGTGTAGTAACACTCCTCCGCTTCTCAGACATCTTTTGCTTCCTCTGAGAGCCAATGTGGTGTAGTAGTTAAGAGCAGCAGGACTAATCTGGAGAACCAGGTTTGATTCCTCACTTCTCTACATGAAGCCTGACTGGGTGACCTTGGCTCAATCACAGTTCTCTCAGAGCTCTCTCAGCCCCACCTACCTCACAGGGTGTCTGATGTGGGGAGAGGAACGGAAGGTGATTGTAAGCTGCTATGAGACTTTTTTGGGTAGAGAAAAGCGGGGTATCAAACCCAACTCTTCTTCTCCTCCTCCTTTCACTTCTCCCTTGCCTTACAAGCTTACTTCCTAGTTTTTGCTGTTCATAACCTGGGCATTTGTAACTTTGGGACATACTGTATTGGACTGTGGACCATGGCATGTATCCTACCTTAGGCTCGAGGAAGTTCCTCCAGCATTTCCAGTTGTCCTCCAGCCTCTCTTTTGTTGGAGAAAAAGCCACTTAAGGTGAAGTACGTTTCCTTAGGCTGGAGGCTTAGGCTTCAGACTTTGCTCAGTAGAGTGATAGGATACATGCCCGTGAATTTAAACACTGACAGTGATAACACTGTAATATATTTTAATTGACTGATTATGCTGGTTTAAAAAAAATTATGAGATGGGATCCAGCAAAAGTCATGACTACATCCCACTGATATCAACAGTACTTGTCACAATTCCATTGCTTTTTAATGAGACTTAGTCACAACTTTTACAAGATTGCACCCAAGAACCAAGTCTTTAATTCACTGACAGTCATAATAATGACATATGTGGTAATCTGAATGGGGTAGGTGGAGCTGCCAGCCAGTCAGGCAGCCGGCATACTGAAGCAGTCTCCAGCTCGAGTTTGTTGACTTGTGTTTGTGGCTGGAGACCAATTGAGAAGCTGTGTTCTGTACCTGAGCTGGGAAGAGGCTGCCAGCCACATATGGTCAAAAAAGTCTCAATTTATCATGACATCAATCAGGGAAATGTGGTTCATGCAGAACATACCACCCTTATAAAACATGAACAGGAAACAACTAATTATATATTTCTCAATCAACATTTGCGCTGCCAACCCCCCCCCCCCCCCCCCCATCACTGGGAAACTATGTTTCCTTGCAAAATGCACGATGATGTAAAGAATGTCTTGAATAGCAAAACAGTTACAGGTGCTGTCTTTTGGATCTTCCGGATATCTGGTTTGCTGATTCAGCCACCCCTGACATCCGCAAGCCGCATGGGGCCCATGTCGATCTCTCCTATCCCTTATAAAAATCCAGGGAAACAGAGGTCCAAATGGCAAATTGCTTAGGATTGCTGTGCAAATTTGTACATTCCCCCCACCCCCGGCACAAATTCCTGTGTTTCCAGTTTACTGCTAATTGTTTAATGAGCACTGCTGAACACTAATCTTTGAGCACAATCTAAAGCAGAATATTTGAATGTGCATTCAACAGGACCAAGGTTGCCTCTAATCTAGGCAACAATTGAACTAAATTGAGATGATTCTGAAAAATGGGAGAATATCACCCACCTCTTCCAGAGCAAGGTAAATGCGAGCTTCCTTGACATTTTCTCAAACTCTCTTCGGCTGATATGGGACAAGAACGGGGGTGTTCACACTTCTTCCCTACCCATCCTTCTTTACAGTCACATCTTCCACAGTTACACTGTCCATGGCCTTAACAGCAAAACAAAAACGTACATTTCAGTTCCAGTTCAGTTGCTCTCCAGCCCCTGATACGGGCTGATCACTGCTGCTTCCAGGTTTGCTCCCGCACTGCTCCTGATAATGGACCCATCTTCTACCCATTTACCTGATCAGTTGACAATATGACTATGCTGCAACACTTGTCCCACATGGGTTTTTGAAATTTTCTGCTAGTGTTGCATACAGACTGGCAACCCAGAAGTAGTACTGGAATGACTGCGAACCATTTCAAGTAAAATCCAAGTGGTGAGTTATACTGATAGGTTGAATAATGTATTTTATTGAACACATACACTATTTAAAATCCTGAGGGTAGAAATAGGGTGTTCTCATTTTGTGGCATATAAGCACCATGCAGCAGCACTATGGTATGGCATTTGTGTTGCCAAATTTAGATCTAGTCCTCGCTAAAATGGTAATCCTGTAATTGTGTTTAGACAGCAAGCGGGGGATCACATGATTGAATGATCCTTCATTTCCTGACCGGTTAATACCTGGGAGATTGGCATTGCTACCCTAAGCTGGTCTACTCAGAATCCTGAATCAGGTCTATTCAGTGGGGATAAACCCCCCCCCCCAAAAAAAAGTCTTCTGAGAATTGCACTTTGACTTGCTTAACTGAATCTGTGCCTTTGGACATACTCAGCTTCTACTATGACCAATGGGATGTAGAATTCTGATAGACCATAGGATTTTTTAATGCTAGATTAGAACATTCTAATGAAAACCCATTAGGGATTGGACAATAGTGTCCCCCCCCAAAAAAAAAAAGAACTGAAGATAACATCCATCGTAGACTGTGGTGTACATGTGCTTCTCTGTAGTGCTTCAGAAAAACCCCTGAAGTCGATTACATTAGAGACAGTAACAAGATAAAAATGGAGACAACTTTGACTTGCTGGGTAAAAAAGACAACTACAAATGTAGTATCATGTCCCATTTACCCAGCTTGTTCCTTCTTTTCTCCTTTTTCTTTCATTTTGATTTCTCATTTAATGTTTTTTGTTTCTAAATATGCTAACTGCAATATTAGCTTAATAACAATGCTGTCCTAAGCAGAGTTATATCCTTATAAGCCCAATGAAATCAATGGGCCTAAAAGGGTATAACTCTACTTAGGATAGGAGCTGCGGTGGCTCAAGTGGTTAAGACGCTGAACTGCAGGCTGTGGAAGGTCAGTAGTTCAGCGGTTCAAGCCCCGGGTGCCGCAAGACAGGGTGAGCTCCTGTCTCTAGTTCTAGCTCCTGCCAACCTAGCAGTTCGAAAGCAAGAAATTGCAAGTAGATAAATAGGGACCACTTCAGTGGGAAGGTAACAACGTTCCGTGCGCCTTGGTGTTTAGTCATGCCGGCCACATGACCACGGAAACGTCTTCGGACAGCGCTGGCTCTTCGGCTTTGAAACGGAGATGAGCACCGCAACCCTAGAGTCGGATTCGACTGGCTTTCGAGCAAGGGAACCTTTACCTTTACCTACTTAGGATGTATGTTACTGAAAAACTATGCTACATCTCAAATATACGAAAATACTGATTTTACACTTGTATTAACAGATCGACAGTAACTTTGATTTTACACTTGTGAAGATTATATATATATTAAAGTTGCTTTGTCACAGCAACTCTTTGAAACAAATTGTTTGTTCCCATCTGTGGGGGAAGGATGATATCAGGATAATAAGCCACTGGATTTATGACCTTTCCAAAATCCAAGCCTTTATTCATGGTCATTGCTGCTGAGGAGCCATAAAATGTTTGGTCAGATGAACCCTATTTGCCATTCTGGAACTGGGCTGGGTTCATTCTCTTACTGATCTCCCTCAAAGAGAATACTATGTAAATGAGACTGCCTGGCACAGATTTAATTCCAGCAATCAAAAACAGAGTTTACAATGCAGGTATGGGAAGAGCTATGTATGGAGAAAATACCATAGCCAACCCTGTATCATAGCAACAACCTCCCCACTCAACGCTATGATACTACCACCATCTAGGGATGCTCAAACACCCACCAGTTTGGCATGCATCCTGTTTACAAGTTGCGAACAGAGACCTGATTTTTCAACTATCGTTTTGATAGGTCAATCCTCCTTCTGTGCTCTCAAAACCTTTCTCCCAGCTGTCACTCTTTCCATCCACTATATCTCTCCTTTGCACTTTCTCATTTTAGGCCAAATCTATACATGCAGCAGTGGTCACAATGTGGTAATACAATGGGCTGTACCACTGTTAATTTGTTCTTGTTTTTATTAACGTCCCTTCCTGTAAAAAACTAGCACATTGAGGGAAAGGGTCGTACTCTGGTCTTCACCAGGCGGTGCTAATTTTCTTCTTTTAGAGAGTATTTAATACAAAAAGACATTCAAAAATGTAACTCCCCAATATGTAGTCAGAAGCGGCACAATCCATTCCATCACCATTTTACAACAGCTTTAGGGTTTTCAGGTTTACCTCAGTGGAAAGCAGCCAGTATACATTTACAATACAGGTTCAGAAAATTATAATGTGGCAGGATAGCATACTGTAACTAGAGTAATTTGTCTTTCAGTGACTCCCTGGTTTTGTAAAGAGTGTGACAAAGGCTTCTTTTTCTGCTGAGAAATTCATTAGGAGACAGCCACTCTTGTTATACATTAACTAGATACAACTGCTTTGCAAGAGAAAAACCACTCAGTAACATGAAAGGAAATCTCCAGAGAAACAAAAATCTCTAGAGAAAGCTCTCTCACTTTCTCTTTCTCTCTCTGTGAGGTAAAGACTTAGCAGCAGGACTTCCAGCCTCTGTTGAATGAAGTCTTTAAAATAACTGGAGGGATTCCACTTGGTTTCAGACAAGCACTTTATCTGTAAACAGGATTTTTATGATTCCCAGTTGGTTAATCTGGTGTACAGGATTCCCCCTATCTACAGTTCTGTCAATTAGTCAGAAGAAAGGTGTTGAGAAGTTTCCTTTAGGAGTACGTTTTTTAAAACCACCAGCTATAAAGTTCTTGTATCGTGACTTATGCTCAATAAACCCTGTGGGGTTTTGGCTGATGCTGAAAAAAGGACTCAGACAAAAAAAAGTACGCATTCATGTTATTAAGGGGAGGGGAATCAGCTATATCAAATGACAACTGTGGGGATCATCCATCTTGCAAAACAGAAAAGTAACAACATTTATGCAGGGCTTTTTGAGTGTTCGAGACACCTCAGCAATTGTTCGAGACACTTCAGCAAAAGTCAGTATAACTAGCCTCATGGGTGGGAAAGGGGAGTTAAGGCTGAGAGAAAGGGAGAGGCTTGCCTTGTCTAATTAGTTCATGGATGAAATCACAGAGGCAGTTGTGGCACATATCTTAGGGCAAAACTAGATGCCATGGACAATCTAGGGACACCAGAGTCATTTTATAACAGGAATTCTGTTGCTTTAAAAATGTCAATAGGACCCAATCCTGCTTGGGACCAATGCTCCAGGGGAGGGGCTCATGCCCCTCCCACGCACACCATTTTTCAAGAGCCCAGTGATTTAAGTAATTTCTTATTGACAATTTACAGAGTGGCCACAATTGAAAATCTGGAGTCACCAGCATAGGATCTGTTTTGTGGAGTTCCACAATGTGTTATCTCCTGCATCCTTTAATCTGTATGTGAAGCTCTTAGGGGAGATTGTCAGTAGCTTTGGGTCTGGGTGTCATTAGTATGGTAATGACACCCAGCTCTGTTTCTTTTCTAAGCCCCCCCCCCCAGCAGCTGTAGACATTCTGAATTCATTTCTGTTAGCCGTGGTCAAGTGGCTGAGGTTGAACAAGTTGAAGTTGAATCCTGACAGAATAGAGGTGATGCTGGTTAATATGGCTATACTACACTCCCTGATTTTGATGGGGTCCACTTAGCTCTGTCTAATTGAGGAGTTATTTTATTAGAGAAACAGGTCATCTTAGTTGTTAAGAATGCTTTCTTTTATCTTTATTTCTTCTTCACTTGGCTTAGAATATGCCCATCTATCTTGACTCAGCTACCTTGGCCTCGCTGATCCACACTGCAGAACCTTATGGCTGGGCTTTTGTAACATAATCTACATGGGGTTGCCTTTGAAGACCATTTTGGTGCCATGGCTCATCTGCTATCTTGTGTTGACCACAGCACACATACCATACTCATTTTGAAAGTGCTTCATTGGTTGCTTATTAGTCTCTAAATTCAATCACCAGCACCTAGTATTGAACTTGGAGACAAATCTTTCATGACTTGGGACACACTTAGGACCTCAATTATGACAGCTCAACCATGGACCAAGGACTATTAAAGGCTTCTTCCTGTAAGCAAGTAAGAATGGTGTGTATTGTCCACTCAAGGCAGAGCTTTCTCAGTTATGGCCCCTACAAGGTGGAACAGCCCTCCTAAGAATATCAGAAGCTTAGCAAAGCCAAGGTATTTCAGTGGTCTTTTCTATGAAGTTTGATCTACTGATGCCTTGGATGCACAGAGCTGGTCAGATTATTTTTGACAGGGCTTTTTTTGTAGAAAAAGCCCAGCAGGAACTCATTAGCATAACAGGCCACACCCAACAGCTGAAACTCATCAGCATATTAGGCCACACCCTGCAACCACAGCTCATTAGCATATTAGGTTGCAGTCCCGTGTTGCCAAAAGTGTGATCATCCAGCCACACCCACCTTTTGCTTCTTATTCTGTTTACCTTGTTTGTTGTCAAAACCCAGGACCTTTTTTTGTAGCAGGGACTCCTTTGCATGTTAAGCCACACACATCTACTGTAGCCAATCCTAATGAATTTCTGCTGTTGGGTGTGGCCTACTATGCTAATGAGTTCCTGCTGGGTGTGGCCAACTCAGGAGCCAGCCAGAACTCTGTTCCTGTGTGTTCCTGCCCAAAGATAGCCCTGATTTTTGATGAGCTGATAGAAAGTGATAGTGCTATTATAGCTTTTACCAACATTGTGATTCACTTCAAGTTCTTGTTTGGAAAAAGGTGGATTTAAAAATTGTAAATAAATAAATAAAGTTCAAAACTTTCCCAGCATCTATTATGAAGTTTCAGCCAGTCTTCTACATTTTGGACTCCAATCAACTTTATTTCTTGTACTTTGGCTTTATCACATTTATACTTAGCATGGTAAGGCACTCGTCAACAGCTTTCCAGGTGCCCACCAAGTGTTTTTTAGAAAGTGGGTGTGGCCAGGTGGGTCTCTTGCCCAGCAAAGCTTCTGATTGGCCACTGGAAATCTGCTTGATTATGTAGATTAAAGTAACATGGTTTCATTTATAGCTGCCACCACAGTGTTGGTTTTATTCTCTCATTAATATTTCCCAATGAATATTTTAAATTACCCATCTTCTTCCTTGCAGCTGGACGTCCTCTGTGTGGTTGACTCTGCCTCCTGAGGAAGCCATTTTGTGGTTGGCTCCACCTCCTGGGTCAACTATTTTGTGATTGCGCCCACCACCCTGTGTCAGAATTCTAAAGGTGTCCACAGGCTTGAAAAGGTTAGGGACCCTTGCTTTAAGTAGTAGATCATGCTGGGCTCAGTCAATTTCAACAAAGGGCTTGGAGCCAGCCAGCTTTCTCACTCATTCTCATTACCCTCTTTTATGACAGCTTTTGTACAAGCAGGAGACATGATCCACAGCAGAGCCTTTTGGGGTGGTCAAAGGGGACCCCACCTGTGTTTTTCACCTGCAGAGAAACTTGTTGGAGTTGACCCAACATGTGACTAAAAATCTGCCCACAGTTTCATCCATAAGGAAAGGAGGGGGGGGGGAGAATCCAGTTTGAAAGGAAGAAATATTTCCTGCTTTAGCTATACTTCTCTCTGTTGGATTGCATTGGTAATAACAACTACCAAATGTTTGTGATTCTCAACTGTGAAGCCCCTGGCACTATATTGTCCCAAACTGTGGAGCCTACCACTCAGGAGAATACCCATTCCATATGGCAGAACATATATCCAGCTTCACATCATGGTATGGAGATCACAGTAATTCACCATCTTTCATTGCTACAGTCATATGCAATTCACCTTCACAGATTTCCTTTACCTGAACAGAAATCATCTGAGTATCTGTCATAGACTGCCTTGCAGTTTCGTTCATCGCACTCACAAGTGTCTCCGTGAATATCTCCCCAGTCTCCAGTTGGGTCAACATCATGACATGTGCATTCTCCACATATACAGGTACCTTAAGAAGGAAGAATTGGTGTGCAGGGGGAAATCACAAAAGGTTAAAATAAGGACTATTGAGATGAACTGAGAAAACACAAAGTGATCATTTTGATCATGTACAGTTTTTGAATATATGTTCATTAACTCTCTCTGTGTATAGCCATTAGCCAACTAAGTTTTCACCCCCAACATGTAGGTTAAGAGATCAGAATTGTTTGTATGTACACTGTTTTCTACAGGCGAAAGGAAAAAGCAAATGGTACCCACAAGGCAGTGGCAGGGTGTGTGTGTGTGTGTGAAATTTGCCAGTTCTTTGGCTTACACTAGAAAGTGACAAGGAGTGGGTGCCCCCTCTTTTCTTGGGATCTCTGGGTCCCCTCTCCTTAAGTAGCCTCCTATATCCAGGGCTATTTTTGGGCAGGAACGCACAGGAACGGAGTTTCGGCTGGCTCCCGAGTTGGCCACACCCAGCAGGAACTCATTAGCATAATAGGCCACACCCAACAGCAGAAACTCATTAGGACTGGCTACATTAGGGGTGTGTGGCCTGACAGGCAAAGGAGTTCCTGCTATAAAAAAGCCCTGGGTTTTGACAACAAACAAGGTAAACAGAATAAGAAGCAAAAGGTGAGTGTGTCTGGATGACCACACTTCTGCGAACATGGGGTGTTTAGCTTAATATGCTAATGAGCTGTGCTGTCAGGGGTGTGTCCTAATAAGCAAATGAATTTTTGCTGTTGGGTGTGGCCTATTATGCTAATGAGTTCCTGCTGGGCTTTTTCTACAAAAAAAGCCCTGCCTATATCTAATAGAGATGGGTACATACTTGTGTGTATCAAGAACTCTCCAAGTAGGAGGGTTGGTCACATAGCTATATGTATATACAACCCTAGGGGAAAACAGGTCTCCATTACAATTTTGTGGTCATCTGGAACCCTTCATTTGTGGTGTGTTATTGTTGTGTATGATTTAAGATACGTGTATGCTGCCTTTCTATTTTAAAAAGAGTTTCCAAAGTGGCACAGAAATAAAACAAAACATTCAAAATCAATTTAAAACCAATTTACATGGGGGGGGAGAACCCATTTGCTTAATGCCAAATAAATTTTTATTTATTTTATTTTATTTATTATATTGATTTCTATCCCACCCATTCCGGCCTAGGCTGGCTCACAACCAGATAAAAGTTATCATAATACATAAAACATAGTACATAAAAACATTAATACAATTCTAAGTAAATAATACATTACTTGATGAATAATACAATAGTATACACAATATTAAAATAAAACAATATTAAAGTGCTAGAAATTCCAGTTCTATTGGTCCACTGCAATTGTGGGGGGGGGGCTGTGCCAGGCAATAGTCACTGGAACCTATGGCTCAGGGCTTCCACCATGGTTATCAGTTATTACTAATGACACTATTGATGGTTGTAGTTGTACTGGTGGTGGCGCCAAAGGCCTGGCAGAAGAGCTCCGTTTTACTATTTAAAACTACGATCCTAGAATAGGGTTGCCAAGTCGTTTTCGCCCTGCGGCAGGGGGCTTCCGGACGGTGTCTCTTCTGTGTGTGCGCGCGCCCCGCATGCACGTCACCCAGAAGTGACGTAATGACGTCGGGCACGCTGGGGCGGGGCCACAGCCATCTGAGGGGGAAACATAGAGTTTTCCCCTGAGATGGCTGTGGCCCCACCCCCAGCATTATCAGTTATTACTAATGGCGCTATTGATGGTTGTAGTTGTACTGGTGACGGCGCCAAAAGCCTGGCAGAAGAGCTCCATTTTACTATTTAAAACTACAATCCTATAATAGGGTTGCCAAGTTGTTTTCGCCCTGCAGCGGGGGGCTCCCGGATGGCATCTCTTGCGTGTGTGCGTGCACACAGCGCGCACGCACCGCATGCATGTCACCCGGAAGTGACGTAATGACGCCGGGCACACTGGGGTGGGGGCACAGCCATCTGAGGGGGAAACATAGAGTTTTCCCCTCAGATGGCTGTGGCCCCACCCCCAGTGTGCCCGGTGTCATCACATCAAGTTAACAAACAGAGTAATGGAGGCTGTAAAAAGTAAAAAGAATTCCTTTAAGCAGTGGAAAGCTAGTCACAGTGAGGCTGATAAAACGGAACACAGGCTATGGCAAATAAAATGCAAGTCTGAGGTCAGGCAGGCAAAAAGGGAATATGAGGAGCATATAGCAAAAAACGTAAAAACCAACAATAAAACTTTCTTCAAATACATTAGAAACAGGAAACCAGCCAGGGAGGCAGTGGGGCCCTTGGACGACCAAGGGGTAAAAGGAGTATTGAAGGATGATAGGGAAATGGCTGAGAAGCTAAATGCATTTTTTGCCTCCGTCTTCACTGTGGAAGATGAGAAGTGCTTGCCCACTCCAGAACCACTGATTTCAGGAGGGGTGTTGGAAGACCTGAGTCAGATTGAGGTGATGAGAGAGGAGGTCCTAAAACTGATAGACAACTTAAAAACTGAAAAATCACCAGGCCCAGATGGCATACATCCGAGAGTTCTGAAAGAACTCAAATGTGAACTTGTAGATCTCCTGACAAAGATATGTAATCTTTCCTTAAAATCTGCCTCCATTCCTGAGGATTGGAAGGTAGCTAATGTCACTCCCATCTTTAAAAAGGGTTCCAGAGGAGATCCGGGAAATTACAGGCCAGTCAGTCTGACGTCGATACCGGGTAAATTGGTGGAAACCATTATTAAGGAAAGAATTAGTAGGCACATAGATGAACAAAACCTATTGAGGCAGACTCAGCACGGTTTCTGTAAGGGAAGATCTTGTCTCACTAACCTGTTAGTGTTCTTTGAGGGGGTGAACAAACATGTGGACAAGGGGGATCCAATAGATATTATTTACCTTGACTTCCAGAAAGCTTTTGATAAAGTTCCTCATCAAAGGCTCCTAAGTAAGCTCAAAAATCATGGGATAGAAGGACAAGTCCTTTTATGGATCAAAAACTGGCTAGTTCATAGAAAACAGAGAGTGAGTGTAGGTGGGCAATTTTCTCAGTGGAGGGTGGTAAGCAGTGGGGTACCGCAGGGATCAGTACTTGGTCCACTGCTTTTTAACTTGTTCATTAATGATTTGGAGATGGGAGTAAGCAGTGAAGTGGCTAAATTTGCGGATGATACAAAGTTGTTCGGGGTGGTGAAAACCAGTGAGGATTGTGAGGCACTCCAAGGGGATCTGTCAAGGATGGGCGAGTGGGCGTCAACATGGCAAATGGGGTTCAATGTGGCCAAGTGCAAGGTGATGCACATTGGAGCTAAAAATCCTAAATATAAATACACATTGATGGGGTCTGAACTGGCAGAGACTGATCAAGAGAGAGATCTTGGAGTTGTAGTGGATAACTCACTGAAAATGTTGAGACAGTGTGTGACTGCAATAAAGAAGGCCAATGCTATGCTGGGGATTATTAGGAAGGGTATTGTAAACAGATCAGCCAATATCATAATGCCCCTATATAAATCAATGGTGAGACCTCATTTGGAATACTGTGTGCAGTTCTGGTCACCACACCTTAAAAAGGATATTATAGCTTTGGAAAAAGTGCAGAAAAGGGCAACTCGAATGATAAAAGGGTTGGAACACTTTCCCTATGAGGAAAGGTTAAAGTGCTTAGGGCTCTTTAGCTTGGAGAAATGACAACTGAGGGGTGACATGATTGAGGTTTATAAGATTATGCATGGGATAGAGCAGGTAGAGAAAGAGGAACTTTTCTCCCTTTCTCACAATACAAGAACTCGTGGGCACTCAATGAAATTGCTGAGCAGTCGGGTTAGAACAGATAAAAGGAAGTACTTCTTCACCCAAAGAGTGATTAACACATGGAATTCACTGCCACAGGAAGTGGTGGCGGCTACAAGCATGGACGGCTTCAAAAGGAAATTAGATAAGCATATGGAGCAGAGGTCCATCAGTGGCTATTAGCCACAAGGTATAGATAGGGGCTCTCGGGCAAGTGATGCTCTGTCTTCTTGGTGCTTGGGGGGGGTCAACAGTGGGAGGGCTTCTAATGTCCTGGCCCCACTGGTGGACCTCCTGATGGCACCTGGTATTTCTGGCCACTGTGTGACACAGAGTGTTGGACTGGATAGGCCTTTGGCCTGATCCAACATTGGCGTCTCTTATGTTCTTATGTACAGACCCTGCAGAACTGTAAAAGGTCCCGCAGGGCCCTGATCTCCTCTGGGAGCTCATTCCAGCAGAACTGAGCCACCACTGAAAAGGCCGTGGCCCTAGTTGTTGCCAACCGGGCCTCCTTGACACTCGGGAGGACCAGTCGGCTCTAGGTCCCTGAACACAGTGCTCTCCTGGGCATATATGGAGAAAGGCGGTCCCTCAGGTATGTTGGACCCTGGCCATAAAGGAATTTAAAGTTAAGAACCAGCACCTTGAAGCGAATCCGGTATGCTATAGGCAGCCAGTGCAACACCTTTAGCTCAGACTGGATGTGCTCCCGAATTGAGAGTCCCATCACCAGCCTGGCCGCGGCGTTTTGCACCAGCTGCAGCTTCTGGGTTTGCAACAAGGGCAGCCCCATGTAGAGGGCATTACAGTAATCCAGTCTCGAGGTGACCATCGCATGGATCACTGTTGCCAAGTCAGACAAATAAAGAGGCATAAACTGACCATTAAAAGCTTTGGAAAAGGATAACAAAGTAGGTGTCTCTCAGATCCAGATCCATAACATCAATCCTAGGTTGATAAGAATGGCTAGTGAATAAGGGGAGGTTCCCCTTGATTTCATCCAGTATCACCTAATTTCCCTGTTGCTGGAATCTCAGAGAGCTCATTTCATATTCACCAAATCAGGGGTCGTTTCGTAGAAAAAGAGCTAGGGGAACTCATTAGTATAACTCATTAGCATATGCCACACCCCCTGACATCACCAGAAGTGTGTCATAAGGCCACACACCCCGCCCCCAACGGTCCCGGCCGCCGCCGGCCTTGCAGCTCCACTGCCGAGCCCCATGAGGGGCCCAGTGGTGGACCTGCAAGGCCGGTGGGAGTGCAAGGAAGCCCCGCGATGGCCCTCCCTGGCCCCAGGCAGGCAGGGGTGGGGAGAGGCAGGGAGGAAGCAACTTACCCTCCCTCTTCTCCTGCCTCCTCCGGGCTGAATGAGGGCCGGAAGCGGGGCGGCCGGAAGCAGGGGGCGGGGCTTCGTCATGTGCCCCACCCCCCGTACCTCACCCGGGGGAACTGCGATCCCCCGCGATCCCCCCCGAAATGACCTCTGCACCAAATACATGGAAAGGAAGTCTGATTGGTGCTCTGTGGTGTTCCGTAGACCAATGTGAAGCAGGGCTCAAAAACAGAAGGAAACAGTGTTGTGTCATCAAAAGAGGATTGTCTGTTATAAATGTGATTCTGATTCCTTCCGTTTCTACATGAATAATTATTACCCTGCACAGTTGAGGTTGGGCTTCCTTCTCAGCTCCATTGTTCCAATGAGGCCTTTTCTTAGTGCCAAACTCCATGGAGTTCCATGACATGATGTTTGGCCCTAAAAATTATCAGAAGACTGATATGAACTGTGGCAAAGATGATAGACAACGGCAGGATTGACTCTTCCACTGCATGCTGTTTTCTGATTAAAAAACTGCTTCCTCAAAGTGAAAAAAGACAAAGTCCCCCTCTGGGGACTTAAGGCAGCCCAGTGGCCATATTTGACCAAGGATATGGCATGCAGAAGCAGGGAAGAGTTAAAACCTCTCTTCCCTGGTGTCATGCTCCCAAATAATTTCATTTCTAGTCACAGCTGTTTTTAAGGCCAAATGCCATATCTGGAGTTACAGTCTTGAAATTCTACTGTCTGATGTATTTTGGCACATACACTCCCCCCCACCAGGGGTCATTTCGTAGAAAAAGAGCTAGGGGAGCTCATTAGCATAACTCATTAGCATACGCCACACCCCCTGACATCACCGGAAGTGTGTCCTCCCCACAGCCGGCGGCGACCTCCAGCGGGCACCAGCAGGGAGCTCCAGGCCCCGCCCTCCCGCACCTCACCCGGGGGGATGGCGTCCCCCCGCGTCCCCCCCAAATGACCCCTGGTCACCTGCAGCACCCCACTCTGCTTAAGAGCACACTGTTTGAAGCACCTATTGATAAAGTGCAAGGAGCTACAGTTGGAAATGGAATTGGGAAGACATCCTGTAAATTCCCCCCAAGTGTAAGGAGCTATGTAAGAAATCTTTGGCTCACAGCAACAGTTCATTGGAAATAGAACTAATTTCACAGAGTACCAATCTAAAAATAGTTTCTCAGTGAAATCTGTTGTTAGTCATGAAGTTTCATGTAGATGGACAAATATAATAAATAAATCTTTTTATTCTAAAAATCTTGAGATCTACTCTAAATTCCCATTGGTATTGTTTGTTATTGCATAAGTAAAACACCTGATTTGACACATAACAATTATTTAGTAATTGTTTCCAGGACTACAGGAACCATTCAAAAAATGGTTAAACGAAAAAGAAATGAGCTTCTATTATTTCTATATTTCAGCCAGGCTTTCAATTGCTCTGCAATTAAGATGAGAGAGTTTTCTAAATGCTCTCAGGATAATTAGATGCTCCTAATTTGGCAAAGCTTTGTCAGTAGAGATGTACTGAGGAGATGTGTATCTATGAGATTACATTTTGCCTTCACTGTAACAGTTCTGGGCTATAGCCAAAAGAATAACACTTGATATTTTAAATATTTTCTTAGTGAACACAGGCATCACAGCAGATGAATGCAAGCCTGTTTATTAAACACTGTTTTTCCCTAAATGGTAGAACAAAGTTTGCGTTTTTGCTGATTGTAAAGGCGCCACTGGACTCAGACTTTCTTCTGCTACTTCAGAACAACGCAGCTACCCACCTGAAACTTTCCTAAACTGAAATTAGTGGTAGGAAACTGAAATATTTAACTACTGGCAAAGAACAACAGCATATACAGACAGTGGATTCAGGTCACCATTCTTCACAGTAGGAGGAGAACTGAGCTTGTCGAGTCATAACTAGGGGTGTGCAAGAAAACATTTTTCGGTATTTTTCTGATTTGGGTATGACAGACCCGAAAAATATCGCTAAATACTGAATTCCCCCCATCCAATACTGGTAAAGTATTGGGATTGGGGAAATATCCAGTATTGCTGAATATATTCAGGTCAGTTATATCCGCAGGGAAGGAAGGGAGGCATGTTAAAATGTCTTCCCTCCCCAAGCCCTGCTACTTCCACTGGCCAGTTTCACCCCCACAAGGATTGCATCATCTAACACCTGGTATAAAGCTCCAGCACTTTTGTCTATCAACACAGCTCTTTGCTAAAGGGACAATCTTGCTGAGGACACTTTGGATTGGATTGAACACCTAACGAAAGGCGCCTTGTGGACCCGAAGTGACAACATTAATTTTATTTATTATTTATTAATTACTTTTGAATTACCGTAAGTGTCAATATTTTAGATTGCATTGGTTAATATTTCTTTTGCTTCTAGATTATTATCATTTGGCCTGTGTTTGGATCTGATTATCATTCTACGCCTAGTAATTTCACTCTGGAAGTAAGCCTATATATATATATATATATATATATATATATATATATTATAGGCATTGTTTATTTATTCATTTTATTATACGTATTTAATTTCACATGTTTTTTTATTTTTTACAGCAATGCCTTTCTGGTCCATTCTGTATCCATGCTGTATAATTGTATTGTATTATGTATTATGGTATAAGCCAATTTGTTCCTCATTGCATTTCACCTCTGAAGAAGGCCCTAACAGACCGAAATGCATCAGGTCAAGTCCATTGGCCCTTGGATTTTGGAATTTTTACATGAGGTATGTATGTGTGGGCCCCTACATGTTTCTTAATTCTTTACAAATAAATACATGTATTTTTACATACTATTTATACATTAAGTCTTAATTATTGGCCCTCTACTCAGTTTGATTTACCTTTTCAGGTTCTTGATCCTACTTTTCAGGGTTAAGTTTGTTTCCCTTTTTTGTTCACAGTTTCACACACACCCACACCCCAATCAGCTGTTAGGTTCCAGGCAAATGGGAGTGAAACTGACCAGTGGGTGCCTCCTCTCTCTGACTTCCCTTCCCCTGCTGCCACACCTAGGCAGGGCAGCTGGGGAAGAGGAGGCAGAGAGCCAAGGCTTGTTTAAATGCCTTTCTTTCCCTCCTGAAGCCAGCTCAGGGAGGGAAAGAAAGGCTCTCTCTTCCTTCCCTCCCCAAGACCCCCTACAGTAGTGGTGAGGCTTGGGGAAGGAAGGGAAGGCATGCAAACACGCCTGGGCTCTCTGCCTTCCCTTTCAATGCTTTTCATTGTTTGTTGCCTTGAGGACTTGAACTGGACAGAAAGGTGGCATAGAAATGTTTTAAATTAAATAAATAAGTCTTGAGCTGATTTTTGTAACCCAAAAGTGGGATATAAATCTTCCGAGTCAACAAAACTAAAATATTAACTTAGAGTGACTCCCAATTTGGAGAATAACAATATATTGTGATACTGGACAATACATTTTTTGCATATAGGTACGTACATACGCACACACCTACACTCTGTACTCTCCTCTTACTATGGATCGTTCTTGCCGTAAGTTGTTTTGTTCAGGGCTTTGACTTACGCTGCCTGAATTTTAAATATAATAAGTAAAATGAGTTTACTCGATAGCATGTAATATAATATACCCCTAATGCATGGTAAATTACACATGCCATAAACTCATTGCATGCATCTGGTAATGGGGTTTAAAGAGTGAGACCCAGAATTATAAACGCATTAGAACATCATTGAAGATTAATTTTTTTTAAAATGAACTTTATCTCTTTCTATATAATGTGAATGACACACCTCTGTTGCTGCAGATTTTGCCATCTGGAGATGTGCATCTCTTCTTGATCTCCCATGGGGTGATGTCACACTGGAGTTCACATTTATCGCCATGCCAACCAGGCTCACAGTAACAGTTTCCACAGTAACACTTTCCATGGCCTTAACCCAAAACAAAAAAATTTACAGTGAAGAAAGATTTTCCTTAATTCAAAAATACATTCTTCTGTTCACTTTTTTAAAACAAGATTTTTAGTGTGGATGCATAAAACTAGTCCCCAGATTGGACCTCTGAGCCAGAGGAGCAATTTTGTTCTTTGTTCCACAATAACCTCTACAAAAGAACTGACCATCATCAGAATAATTTCATTATTTCCTAGTTTTTTGGTGGGCCTGCTTTATTTCAGCAATGAATGGATCTGTGCATGATGAAGTCATTTAGGAACACCAACTAATATCCTTTGAAACTTGCAATGAATGCTAGCATCCGATCGCCACCACTGATTCAAAGGGGTGTGTGTGTTAACACACCATATGGACATTTTACAGTGCTTTCACATAGAATCATAAAAACTGAATAGCTGGACATAAATAAGATGTTTACATAGTTAAGTGGAATCACTGGCTAATTCAGACAGACAGCCGACTATAAAAGTGTAAAGCAATGAGAAAGTCTAGCTTCTTTAAACAAACACTGGTTCTGCCAGCAACTAAGGGTTTCCTTGCTGACACCAGGCATGCTCAAATATTCAAAGACAAGCAGGTCTGTATATTTTCTTTTGACACTTGTTCTTTATAAAGTAACTAGAAATAAGGCCCGTTGTGGAAATAAATACAACGGGATCTAGAAAGAGGCTCTGGGAGAGTGCTCTGGCTTTGGGCAAACAGTGTCAGTCTGCTTTTAAAACATGAACCTGGGACCTGCACACCACCAGAATACAGCAGATTCCATATGCAACTGACATTCCAACTGCCTTGCGGGGGGGGGGAGTTTGAGGTGTGGAATGAAGTCCAATCAGCTTCCATATGCAACAGACCAGGTTGTCGCAGCAGTTGTGGTGTGGGCGGGACCCGGGCTTTGCCTTCTGATTGGTGGCGATATATGCTGAGGAGCAGTGCCATCAGCCATACACTAAGGGAGTGCATTTTAGAATTAGAACTTTGGCACCCACTATTCAATTATATATAAATAAAGGAGAGATAGCTTAGACACTACCTTTGCTAAGTGGCCCGGGCTAGCCCAGTCTCACTAGATCCTATTTGCTAAGTAGGGTTGGCCCTGGTTAATACTTGGATTGGAGACCACCGAGGAAGTCTAACATTGCTATGCAGAGGCAAGCAAGGGCAAACCAACACTGAATGTCTCTTGCCCTGAAAACTCTACAGGGTTGCCATAAGTTGGCTGAGATTTAACAGCACTTTCCACCCACCACCAGGTTTCACACATTACTAGATAGTATATGGTCATAATCATTCACTTCCTGGATTTTCCTAGGAGATAGATTATTACAAAACCGCAACATCCAACATAGTGTGAATCCAGTCATGGATGAAAAGATACATGCTTTATTATGTAAAACCATGGAATCATAGAGTGGGAAGGGCTTTATAGACCATCTAGAACAACCCACTGGTCAGTGCAGCAAATCCAAAGCTAGAGCATCCCTAATAGGACAGACAGCTTGTTCAGCCTCTGCTGGAAAACCTTTTGTAACAGATAGCTCATCCACCACTCCTGAGTAATTGGCTCCATTGTCAAGAATGGGTGAGTGGGCATCAACGTGGCAAATGGGGTTCAATGTGGCCAAGTGCAAAGTGATGCACATTGGAGCAAAAAAAATCCTAACTACAGATACACATTGATGGGGTCCGAACTGGCAGAGACTGACCAAGAGAGGGATCTTGGAGTCATAGGCCCCGGTCACACGGAGCATTTGCCCCGCTGAAGGCACAGGAGTCCCGCGGAGTATCCGGGTGCGATCACACAGGAACATCTGGGAGGTGTAGCGCTCCCGTGGCGACCCCGTGGCAAGCCGCCGAAAACGCGCCGTAAAAAACTAGTACACCGCATGTACTAGCAAACGCTTTGCCACAGGCCGCCTATGGAAGCCTCCCGGTGTGATCGCGCTGACGCGCGGCGTCCTCCCCGTCGTCCTCCTTGCTGCGGGGAAGCCGTCGTCGCGTCTGATCGCATAATAGCACATCAGAATGCGACAGCGCAAATACCTGCGCTCCCCCCCCCCGCATTTTCCGGCACGTCTGGCCGGGGCAGTAGTAGATAATTTAATGAAAATGTCTCTTGGTTTATATGTTGTTTGTTGTAGTGGTTTATGTCTGTGTTTAGGATTATAAGAAAATAATAAATATGTACCTTCGGGTACTTTCAAAAAAAAAAGAAAGAAAAGAAAATGTTGAGATAGTGTGCAACTGCAATAAAAAAAGGCCAACGCTATGCTGGGGATTATTAGGAAGGGAATTGAAAACAAATGGGGTCTGAACTGGCAGAGACTGATCAAGAGAAAGATCTTGTAGTAGATAACTCACTGAAATAGTCGAGACAGTGTGTGACTGCAATAAAGAAGGCCAATGCTATGCTGGGGATTATTAGGAAGGGTATTGAAAACAGATCAGCCAATATCATAATGCCCCTATATAAATCAATGGTGTGACCTCATTTGGAATACTGTGTGCAGTTCTGGTCACCACACCTTAAAAAGGATATTATAGCTTTGGAAAAAGTGCAGAAAAGGGCAACTCGAATGATAAAAGGGTTGGAACACTTTCCCTATGAGGAAAGGTTAAAGCGCTTAGGGCTCTTTAGCTTGGAGAAATGACAACTGAGGGGTGACATGATTGAGGTTTATAAGATTATGCATGGGATAGAGCAGGTAAAGAAAGAGGAACTTTTCTCCCTTTCTCACAATACAAGAACTCGTGGGCACTCAATGAAATTGCTGAGCAGTCGGGTTAGAACAGATAAAAGGAAGTACTTCTTCACCCAAAGAGTAATTAACACATGGAATTCACTGCCACAGGAGGTGATGGCGGCTACAAGCATGGACAGCTTCAAGAGGGAATTAGATAAACATATGGAGCAGAGGTCCATCAGGGGCTATTAGCCACATGGTATAGATGGGAACTCTCGGTCTGGGGCAAGTGATGCACTGTATTCTTGGTGCTTGGGGGGGGGGTCAACAGTGGGAGGGCTTCTAGTGTCCTGGCCTCCCTGGTGGACCTCCTGATGGCACCTGATATTTTTGGCCACTGTGTGACAGAGTGTTGGACTGGATGGGCCATTGGCCTGATCCAACATTGGCTTCTCTTATGTTCTTATGTTCTTAAGCTGCTATGACCATTAGGAAATTTCTTATTTTGTTCAGCTAATACCTACCCTCCTAAAACTTAATCCTATTAGATCTAATCTTGCTGCCTCTCTTGAGCAGCAAAGAACAAGGTTTTTTTTTGCTTTTTCTATGTGATAGCTCTTTCAGTTTTTGAAGCATACTATCACATCTCCCATCAGTCTGCTCTTATCCTTGTTCATACCCAGTTATTTCAGTCTTTCCTTGCAGGACTTCTTTTCTGGACCCTGACCATCTTTGTTAGCTTCATGGGGACCTGTTCCAATTTGTGTATGCATCCTTCCTAAGGTGGCATTCAGAACTGGACACAGTGCTCCAGAGGAGGTCTGACTAGTGACCAACAGAATAGAATTATTATTTTGTGATTTGGATGCTATGTTTCTTGTTAAAAGCAACCTAAAATGACATTAGCCTTTTTGCAGCTACGTCACATTGTTGACTCATGGTCAGTTTGTGATGCGTTGCAATCCTAAAATATGCCAAATACTTCTAAACTGACTGGTAATTGTAAATCAGTATCTGAAACTGAGCATCCCCCCCCCATCTTCCTTAGATGGTCCTAATGCTTTCTCAATTTGTCACACTTTCTCCACTTCAAACAACATCTCTTCTCCCTTCTTTTCTCCCTTTCTTTGTACCCATTTTCCCTTATTGTTCCAGTCTTCCCTCATCCCCTTTTCTTCCAAAGCACATCTTCACCCTTCTGCTTCCTGAACCCAGCATTCCTTCAGTTCTTTGTTTCTCAGGCTCATAAGAACATAAGAGACGCCAATGTTGGATCAGGCCAAAGGCCCATCTAGTCCAACACTCTGTCACACAGTGGCCAAAATACCAGGCTCAAACTACACATGGATGATAGTCACATGTCCATTGTCCCGTCCCCCCCACACTTTGTTGCCCATGCTGCTATTTCCACTGGGTGGTCAGTGCTGGAAGAATGAGCACCTTATTTATTTATTTTCCTCTACCAATTTTCCAAATTCCTTCCAGTCAATTTTAGTGTTTCCTGGGGGAAATGTACAGAGGGTAACTTGGAGGTGAAAAACCAGAGGAGAAGAAGGATTAGCCAGTGTATCATGTCATAAACTCGCCCTGGGTCTATGTGTGTTCATGTGTGTGTAGTGTGTTCTTCTTCGGTTACCTCCACCCCAACTTAAATACAAATCTAAGGAAACAAACAGGAAAATCATATCACAAAGCTAAACTTAACAATATAGAATCATAGAATCACAGAGTTGGAAGGGGCCATACAGGCCATCGAGTCCAATCCTCGGCTCAATGCAAGATCAGCCTAGAGCATCCCTGGCAAGTGTTTGTCCAGCCGCTGCTTAAAGACTGCCAGTGAGAGGGAGCTCACCACCTCCCTAGGCAGCTGATTCCACTGTTGTTTCCAATGGATGTTGCCAAGCTTTTAACCCTTCCTGCCTTAGCTGGTGGGAAACCTCTTACGCAATCCAGCTTTAGGGACCTCTAGATATTATAATGCCCTGCTTGGTGTAGCAATCAGTATGCCATACTAGAATCTGGGAGTCCCAGTGCAAATATTCAACTCTGCAACTGAAGCTTGCTGGGTGACCTTGGGCCAGTTTCTGTCTCAGCCTCACAGGACTGTTGTTGTGAGGGGACAACAATGTTCTAAACAAATAAAAGTACCGTCTCCACAGAAAGGCAAACTCTATATACCAGGAGTTAGAAATTCTGTGAATTATGCTATTTGCAGTTTGGGCTGCATACTTTATCTTGGCTTGAACACAGGATTCTCCCTCCCCCCTCCCTGGTACGCGCACAGATTGGCATACTGGTGGCCTATATGAAAAGTCTGAAACAGTAGAGTTGAAGGCTAAAAGAGAAGGACCTGATATGGTGTTTTAGGAGTGAAATCTGTCAGATTGCAGGGCAGGCTTTATATGGTGACAGGATGAAATCCATCAGAATTCTATAATGCTGCTAAATCCACAAAAAAATTATCAAACCCGAGATCAGAAATGATCCATTTTTAGCTGTCTCCTACCAGCTATAGAGCACTCTGCCATGAACTGCAAAGAACTCATGCATATACATGATTAAGGATGTGCTAGGCACCCATTTATATAGGAGGAATAAGTCCAGCTAATAGACGAATCAGTTGAACTTCAGCTGCTTTCGGCTGACTCCACTGCAGATATGAATCCTTTCAAAATAGTGGCATAAATAACAGGGAGGGAATGTTTGTACTGTCATGATATAATCTGGAAAACACCAAAATGCTAATTTTCCCTGTAGTAATCTTCTAATTGCTCCAGAATATTCATGCCCTGAAATGCCACCACATTTCCTGTATACTTGATTATTGCTAATTTGGCTTCTTGCTAACACAAAATACCCTGCATCTTTACACCTCCCTGTAATATATCCTTCTCATTTTCTACAACTAGCACTATTATCTCAAGTCTCCCAATGCTACACAAAATCTCCAAAGGATAAAAAGGACTTCCTTCCCTCCCTCTTTGAACAGCCAAAGAAGGAGTAAGGCTTCGGTCACACGCATAAAATAATCTACTTTCAATCCACTTTCCAACTGGATTTTGCCAGTTGGAAAGTGCACTGAAAGTGAATTGAAAGTGTATTATTTTGTGTGTGTGACTGCAGCCATAGTCTATTGCAATGTTTATTGTATCACCTTCCTTTTTTTTACTGCAGTGTCCTCTACCTTTGTAATCCCCCTTCTTCATTATGATTTGTCATGCCCTTTTTTGTTGCTTGTATTGTTTTGCAGCTCTGTAGTCCTTGTCCTACTGTGTTGTTTATTGGAGATTTTTGCTGTCTGATTAAGTCACTCTTCATATTTTGTAATCCGCCTTGAGTCTCAGTGAGAAAGGCAGACTATAAATGAAGTTGTTTATGCTGTTAATAATGAGGAAGAAGATGATAATGAAGATATTATAATAATAATGGTGGATAGGTCACTACTTGACCACAATTAGCTACAGCTGAGACAAAATTCATTTGAAAGCAATGAGATTTACAGTGCAAACCTAAACAAAGTTAACACCCTTCTAAGGCAGTTAACTTCAGTGGATTTAGGTCCCTGCCACACGGCAGGAAAAAAAACGGGCAAAGTGCGGCTTTTAAAAGCCGCCCCAAAACAGAGATGCCGTGGCGGGATCCCACGGATCCCCTGAGCCGCGGCGCCGTTGCTCCCCGGCACGATCAGATGCCGGGGAGGAAGCGACAGTCGGGAGGGGGAGGCTGCCGAACTGCGCGTGTCTGAGCATGCGCGGTTCGGCCAGGAGCCGGGGATGAGCCGGCAGAAGGACGCGCCAGCGATCCCATGGCCGGCCTTGATGCGCCCTTTCCCGAAAAACCACCTAGGTAGGTGGTTTATTATTGATACGGGGTTTTGGGTGGAAGGGCCAGATCGGGAACGGGCGCGCCACGCTACCCAGATGTTGCTGTGGGATCGCGCCCGTTTGCTGCTCCCCCAATCCGTCCCTCTCCTGGCCCAAAACCTCTCGTGTGACCGGGGCCAGAGAGGGTTTAATTCTGCTCAGGGCTGTACTGCAAGTCACTGCTAATCTGCTCCATTGATTTCAATTAGATTAAGACACTGATTATGAGACTCATTTCAATGAGAAATGGGCTCTTATTTTTCATGCAAATTCTTGCCATTTGCTAGAGTTATGGTTATTTGACTTTATGATAACTCTTATGAATATACTTACCTGTACACATCTCTCCTGTCTCTTCATCTATGCATTCTCTGTCATCACATTCACAATATTTACCATGGATCAATCCATTCCCTTCTAAGTCGTCACATTTACACCTGCCACAATGGCAAGTTCCTGTAGAAATCAGAAAAAATAAATGGTAAGAAATAAAGATATGCAGATCTAAGTATAGGAAAGGATATCAAGGACAATCTACTCTTAAGAGAAGGCATGATTTAAAGCCTCACATATCTGCCAGATGTTCATTTGTTAAAATCTGTTTTGTTTTGTTTCACTAATAAGCAGTGGTCATTTTGTAGAAAAAGAGGTGCATGAGCTCATTAGCATAACTTATTTGCATATGCCACACCCCCTGACATCACCAGAAGTGTGTCAGAAGGCAACACCCACCACTCACGCTCCACTGGACTGTTTTGGATTGCTAGCTATGGGGGGGGGGATGCACAGATCTGCCCTCACAGAGGAGGGAGAGCTTGTACCTGAAGGCAGGCCAGGGGGGGCGCTCTGCAACTTACCTGGCTGCTTCTTGCTCCTTTTGGCCCAGCTGAGGGCTGCTGGGAGCAGGGGATGGGGCTTGTTGCATGTGCCCACCCCCTGGGCTCCTTACTGCCAGAGCGCCGCTCCTGTGCGCTCCCGCAGGAAATGACCCCTGCTAATAAGATATACTTTGTTCCAATGGCTCTGATATTGCATACCTCTTTTAAGTATGTATTGTGAATGCCCCACTACCCCACTAAGTCAGCTAAGGAGTTAGAATATTATGAAGAATCTGATTGAGAGCACTGAAAACTTAGAGGTCTCGATTCCCCATTATCCTTCAGTGATATCTCTGGAGATGCACCAGGGCCTACAAATTTCAGGAGACACCCCAAGTCCTTTGGGATTTTTGTGTCTCCATTTCTGGCCATTTCAGTCAGACTCCAAAATGGGCTTCCAGTATAGTAACCAGATGAGTACCAATTTCGCAAAGAATATAGATCGAAGCTAGATCTGGTTCCATCAACCACGAATTAAAAAAATTGCCAACAGCTCCCTCCGTTTCAATCTTAATCAAATTTTCTGGTTCGTCAGACTCACACTGCATGTTCATCCTAGATGTATGAGTGGGTCTCATCCTGATAACCTGTGCTCAATCTCGCAATACCTCAGTTCTTGCAATTAATTTTATTTAAATCTCTTTTTTTGTGCTAGAGTAGTCTCAGATATCATGACAATCTTCGACTTATGATTTGATCAACCCATCAAAATAAAATCTCACCTGCGTTTGAGCAGATGATATCTTGAGAATTCTTGCACATTTCGTTACTCTTCTTCCGTGTAAGGTTGCAGGTCACAGGGAACTGGCAGGCATCACCGTACCAACCTTCCTCACATTTGCACTTTCCACAGTCACACCTCCCATGACCTAGATTACAAAGTGAAGAATGTCAAGCTTTATCCATGTTTTCAGATTCACAGGTCCACACACCAAACCAGGGTGTTTTATTTTTAAACCATCAATAAATTGTTCTTGATCAAGTCTGTGGTGTTTTTTTTAAACATGTCTTTATTAGATTGCCAACTTCCAGGTGGCACCTGGAGATCTCCCGCTATTACAACTCATCTCCAGACAACAAAGAGCAGTTTCCCTGGAGAAAATGGCTGCTCTGGAGGGTGGACTCTGTGGCATTATATCTTGCTGAGGTGCCCCCCAAATCCTTCCCTCCCCAGTCTCCTGCCCTCAAATCTCCAGGTATTTCCTAACCCAGAGCTGGCAACCCTATCTCTACTGTATACCGAGAAGAATGTTCGGTTGCTTATGCAGTCTTACATGGTTTTCAACTGATAGAATGAGTCGAATGGTCACAACAGGTGCAGGAATCAAATTAAGGGTGTATAAAGAGACTGTGACAGCTTCTACAGCATGATCAGAATTACAGCTCTCAAAAAAGCACATTTTAATGTCTTCTTACCTGAGGAAGGAGGAACGTGAAAGAATATGTGCAATTCCAGCAACGGGCTGCTGGGGACACTCAATGTGGACATTCTTCCGCCTCATAGTTCACTGTCACTGCCTACAGCTTTGAGTCTCTGAAGGACTTGATTCTCCTGACCCTTCATGATTTTTCTTTCTTTTTGTAATCAACCTTGTTTGATTCAGCTGCAGACTGTTAGCTTCGTTATGGATTGCCTGTTATGTTGGGTAAATTACTGTTCCTTTGTTCACTCATTGCCCAACATGTGCAGGTGGGAAATGGTGGCCAGCAACCTTTCTTCTAGACCCAGGATATGGCTTTGGAAATAGAATTATACTTCCTAGATCCATGTAACTCAACCATACCCCTATGAATAAGATCGCCTGCTTCACGTTGGGACATACCTGGATATGTTGGGGGTGGAGCCTGAGGAGGGTGAGATCTGGGAAGAAGAGGAGCTTTAGTGGGGTATAATCCTATAAAATCCACCTTCCAAAGCAGCAATTTTCTCCTGGTGGACCGATCTCTGTCGTCTGGAGATCAGTTGCAATTTCAAGAGATCTCCAGCCACCACCTGGGGGTTGGCAACCCTCCCTCTGGGGCTGAGAACTTTTTCAGGATTCTCTGATTTCTATGTGTTGTTCTCCGAGTGATATAGCTTCCAAAAAACAAGCATGTTCTGTATGATACACATATCATCTGTTACACTGATTTGCTTATGGATTTGAATCTCTCATTCCAAGTAATGTATTTCAACTGCTATGCAATACTGCAGAATGGCTGATTTGGTTTTATATGAGGCATTCCCAAATGCCGACAGAACTAAAAATAAGGAAGGAAGGCCAATTGAATGTTGTAGCATTCAATAATTTAAAAACAGCTTTACGCCTCATGGGAGCTTCAGATTCATGCAGAGATCCAGAGATCCATAGTATTGGCTGCTGTGTATCAGTTCCCCCACCCCATAATACTCATAATAACAATCCGATTAACACTGTAATAACTGCCTATACTATTTCTCCTGGCATCTCAAAATTTCATTCCACCTCCACATTTAGGAAATAGTTAATTCTGCAGATTAAACCACTTTTCTTTTCCAAACAAGCAGCTGGCAGTTTGAAATAATTATCCATTTACTTTACCAATATGACCACAGACACACACACACACAGCAAAATGAAAGAGAGGAACACAGGCATAAAGAGTGTCGGCAGACAGAATATTTTTCATTAAAGGATAACCTTCCATTTTGTTTCTGCTTCAGTGGTGGTCAATACTCTGGTCTCTACTGGTTCATGAAGATAAGGATTCATTCCAGTGTTAAATAAAAATCCCTCACTTATCTCTTTTCTTAATATTAGCAACAGTACCGCAACTTAGCCTTCATCTATTGCAGTCTCCCTAGCAAATTAGTAGCTCGATCTCTCTTGATAAAGGGAAGAGCCAATGAAAGCAGGAAAGCCACCCCCACCCCCCAGTTCCTTAAACAGCAATTTAGCTGCCTGGGTTTCCTAATCTTCTTTACCTGGTGGCTAGGCAGTCTTAATCCCTCACAGTCAATGGAGATAAGCATTAATCACAATACAGTAGTACACAAAAGCCCTAAACATTTCTGTCTTTCAAAACAGAAGATATGGTAAACACTTTCTGCCAGCATAGTTGTCCACTTGAGTTCATTGATTACTTTTATTCAAAGTAGTCACTATGAACTAACTGGAAGCTCCCGCCACCCCCCAGTAGGGGGATGTATAACTATTAGCCACTACCTCCTTAGGTATTTAGTGGGTCCTTTAACATAGGCAGATTAGCATGTAGGATTGGATCACATCTAGATTTCTAAAAAATACACATACAAGAAGTCACCTAGTACTGAGTCAGTCAGTCTACTCGTCCACCATAGAAAAAGAAATTTACAGATGAAGAAGCTTATTCTTCTATTTCTTCACACTCTTCTTCTTTCATCCTTCTCTTAAAAAACAAACAATGAAGAATCTCATTGAAGACAGACATAGGATAATAGGGACTGACATGGTTTGTTGCGATGATCAAGGGCCAACTTTATTTTACCAGCAAGGTAAGGAACTGCAGCAGTCAAGGGCAAAACTCATCCCATACTTAATCAGGGGGCAGGCAACTGATAGGATGCATAAGAGTCAGGCCTCCTCTGTCTGTGTGTCCCTGCATTCCAGGTGAGGCCACCCTGGCTCTGAGCCCTGAGCAGACAAGTTGCATCCTGCCCAGGTTCGTCCTTGCCAAGAATTTACTGATGCTCGAAGGAAGTGTGCCATGTCCTTTATCCCTAGCTGCAAGTTCTTTGGGTCAAGATAAGGGCAACCTCTAAGAGGTTCTTGGGAGAAAAGGCAGCATGGTATAACCTGATCTTTTCTGATCTTGGATCAGTACTTGGAAGGGGGATCACCAAGGAAGACTCTGCAAAGGAAGGCCATTGCAAACCACCTCTGCTTCTCACTTGCCTTGAAAGACCCTTGCTGGGGTCGCCACAGGTCAGCTGTGACTTTATGGCACCACACAAACACACTAGGTTCTTGACCCAGTTCCATGAGAGGCACTCTAACTCCAAGGACCTGGTCTGAAGAATTTCCTCTTCATCCTTCAAATGATGCCTCAGGGTCCTCATCTAAGTTTTATTCTTAGAACACACTTTACCTGTTAATATCACAGCTAGAGGACACTGATACCTAAGGCAACTAACCAGTTAGGGTGTGGGAAAGTCTACTCCCATGATGAAGAAGAAGAAGAAGAAGAAGAAGAAGAGATTGGATTTATATCCTGCCCTTCACTTGGAGTCTCAGAGCGGCTTACAAATGCCTTTCCCTTCCCCTCCCCACAACAGACACCCTGTGAGGTAGGGGGGGCTGAGAGAACTCTGACACAAACTGCTCTTTTTCAAGGACAGCTGTGCCAGAGCTTGTGACTGACCCAAAGTCACATCAGCAGGTGCAAGTGGAGGAGTGGGGAATCAAACCTGGTTCTCCCAGATTAGAGTCCGCGCACTTAACCACTACACCAAACTGGCTCAGAGTGGATTAGGTGACACCTCCCCCCCCCCAGCTTGTGGCAAGCTGATCAGAGAGTTGTGGCCAGGTGAACCAGACAGGCAAAATTTCCTACTTGACCCAACCACCTTGTGCCCACTCTGAAACATTGGGAGGCAAGGTAGGCACCTTGTCTGATGGTGGGTCAAAAAGGCAGGGACACACAGATGGTGCCTCACAGCCTTCTCCTATGATACCCTAATGCTTTGTCTGCACCCACCCAGGCATACCGACACCCACTAGTTCCCTTTTGTGGCGGGCTGCCAGCAAACCCTTACCCCCTGGCTTCATCCTTTGCAGGGGAGGGAACTGAGTGGCATTTTTCCATTTCATCATGTCCTCCCTTCTTTCTTCCTTCTCTAAAAAATCAACAAAAGCTAGCCAAAAAGAAATGTGATCCATCTTAGCTCTGGGCCTAATCCACCTTGATTTACCAGCTGTAAACCAATAACACCGGTTCTATTGTCTTGGATCCTACAAACCATGAGCTGAGAGGAGTTCAAGGAAGGGAACTTTGCTGCTCCATTGTAAAGTATGTGCTTTTCCTCTGAACATTAGGCCCTCCCTATATACATCAATAACTGACCTTATAACCTGTCATAGTGACATCATAAGCCAGGGGACCCCAACACGGTGCCCATGGGTTCCATGGAACCCACCAAGTGTTTACAGAAAGTGGGTGGGGCCAGTTAGGGCTTTTGCCCACCAAGGCTTATAACAGGCCATTGTAAATTTGATTGGCTGTGCAGATTAAAAACAACAGCATTGCTTTGGCAGCACCTGCCACCACAGCACAAAGATCTTGAATATGTGGCTGAAGGAAAGCTGCGACAGCCATTATGTAGCTGGCTCCACCTCCTGAGGTGGGGCATTTTGTGGCTGTGTCCACCACACTATGTCAGAATTCGAAAGGTGTCTGCAGGCTCAAAATGGTTAGGGAACCTATCATAAACCACAGAATTAGGTTCATTGCCTTGCAAATTCTGAGTATTTAGAGCTCACAAGGATAAACAACTATAACCCCAATCCAATATAATTTGCAGGTGCTTAAATTTAATTTAAATTAATGGGACATAAGTTACTCATGCCTAACTTGTCCCACTACACTGCAATGGACCAACTTTCTCTAAGTTTGATCTATACTTACAGCCCTATGTTGTAACCCCTTAAAATGCAACATTGAATACACTCCTCTTCCTCCCCCCCCAGTCCCGCTCCAGTGCTTAAGATTCAGGTGGGGTAGCCATGTTGGTCTGAAGCAGCAGAACAAAGTTTGAGACTAGTGGCACCTTTAAGACCAACAAATGTTTGTTCAAGGTATAAGCTTTCATGTGCATGCACACAAAAGCTTATACCTTAAATAAAGCTTTGTTGGTCTTAAAGGTTCCACTGGA